TGAAATAACACACCATGTTTCAGTACTAATGTTTTCAAGTCAAGATGCGTAGAGACTGAATAAAATTGGTACAAACACAGAACCCTGAGGTACACCGTAGTTGAGATAAGCTATGTCTCTGACTTTGAACCGTCGATACCTACTGTCTGTCTGGGACCATCTGAGAAGTCTACCAACTCGATCAGTTATTCCAAAGTCTGTTAACCTTTCCATGAGAAAACTGTCATCTACGCTATCGAATTAGTCTGGTCTCGATAGACAATATTGCCATGGACCAAAACACCTGGAAATTGCGATAAAGTTTGATATACTTCAAGTTTGACCCGATACAAAATGTTTAAATCTTTTTTGCCATATTTACATATTCAATCTGATTAAAACACAGATCTATATTTCGTTTCGTTTTTTTTTATATTTTCGATGGCTTAGCGTGTAAAGACAAGTAAAACGAAATTTTGAACTTTAAAAAACCGACACGAAATGGGATCTGTGTTTTAATCAGATTGTTAGATATCAAATGTAATATTTACAGTTTGAACATGTACATTTGATACAAGCCAGGAGATTTTGGTACTAGCATATGGTTCAATACCCCCCCCCCCCCCCCATACCTTGTATCCTTGTGCGTGAATTGAGAAATATAGGATTCCCTTTACAAACTACATTTTCGGCCACCCCCCCCCCCTCTCCGTCATACACCCCTCGGGCATATCAAATATTAATCTAACACCGGCGAAATTTTATCCGCTATTAAAATGTCAACTATTTCATAGGATCATATACTTTATCAGATAATTGCCTGTAGATATCACAGGTGGAAGCGAACATTAAACCCGGCGAACGCACGAACGTTCTATAAGATAATTGCATGTGACAAACTGATAATTATGAAAAAATACGTTGATATTGCACATCATTGAAATGTAACATAACGTGTTAACTGTGAAAAAAATGATTAATTTTGTCGTCTATTTAACATTTGATTGACAGGCGATGATAGATAAAATTATCGCCGGAAGCGTCCGTAACTAAGGTGAAAAACTGTTAATTGATTGGCTTAATATGTTTATTACACCAAAATACACGCACTTGCCGTAAGATTAACGGGTACTTATAACTTACACCCACCTTTTAATCGTTTGCCCGTGGCAAATAAAATAGATCTACTTAGGATAGATATTTTGCATATTAAACATACATTATGCAAGAGCTAAATCTGCCTATTGCAGGCATTTCTTTAGGCCCGAAATGTTCTCTAAATTATTAACTAGACATTAATTAACTTATCCATACCATATTCAACTCTTGGTGTCATCGCTAGCCAGCGATATTTACTGGATTAGGATCCGATTTGCTGCTCAACTTTCATTCATGATTATATCATGAAATAGATAATCGAGACTATGTTTTTTATGGTACCGACTTTAGTAATGATGATCGAGACTAGGCCAAAATTCAATCGCTAAATTCTCGGTTCAGAGTGGAGCAATTTGACCGAAATTTTCAGCAAATACCCTTTACATTATCTAGTTTTTAACTATTATAGTGAGAACTGCCAGCTCTTTATCTAATCTCCTGGAATGTAAATGGGTTTTTTTGAAATCTTAATTGGATTTATTAAAAAAAAATAGATATCTTTTTGAAAAAATGTTTTCATTTAAATTCGCTGCTTATGTTAATACTGTTTCGAAATGATCTCTTTTGGTTGACAAAATAATATCACTTTCAACCCGATATTAATATATATTTTTGAGTTCTGGTATATATCTGAAAGATTTGATTTCTGCCTTTAATCTGAGATATTTGAAATTTGGGTGTTTATTTTAAAGTGCGGGTCCACGATTTCTATGTATAAAGGGTACACTATTTAATTGCACATTACATGCAATGAATCCTGTTTTTTTTGTGATGTATTGACCGTTTACTTGATTCGAAGTCTGTCAGCCGGGGAGGGTGGTGGGGGTCGAATGGTTAGCGTGTAGTGAATAAAACTGGTCAGATCTGCGTCCAACCTCATGGGTTTTCTCCCTGCCCCCCCCCCCCCCCCACTGCTAAAGACCCCTACGCGCAAGCGAATTATTGAAATAAAATTGAGCCATATGTTGGTCCCGAAATAACCTGGTTTGTGTCGAGTGGACGTTAAACCCCATCTCTCTCTCTCTCTCTCTCTCTCTCTCTCTCAGCCTGGCCGCAGCCCCCCGGGAGGTCGGGCATTGCACATATATTATATCGGTATATTTTGACAGCGGTTATGAATTAGAGAATTGTTGAGGTCTATAATTCGTCACATTGGATTGACATATCTTGATCTTTATAACTAAACTCACAGTTACGCCCATCATTTTCCATATTATAATTTTATGTGGATTTAAAACGTCTGACACGCGTGAAAGGTCAAATAAAGATCAAGCAGGCACAGTATTTCGTGAAAATGTTTAAATTTGCTCCCCTTATTGTCTGGGATTAATCAAATCAGTCACTATGCAAAAATACAGAATACCAGAATCATGTCGCAAAACAAAAAATCCGAGATCCCGTGTACACGTAAAAGATCCGTTTGCAGTTGGAATTCGTTATAAGAATAGGTCGTAGCGCCACTGTCCGGGCAAAATTTCCCTGTGTGTGCCCGTCTTCATAAGCCCAGTTCGGAGCAAAACAGTAGGACGTTAAACCACATTTCATTTCATTTCCAACTTTAAGGTCTTGTGCACCACATACCAGTGACTGTGCAATCTTGCACTGAACTATTCATCAGAACTATTAAAATCATATCAACCATATTAGTCTTCGAGATCTTATCAGGGGCGGATCCAGGAATTTTTGCAGGAGGGGGTTTGCCAGGTTCCTGTTAAGGAAATCTGTTATCATCGTGTCTAAATTACATAGGCATACATACAAATTGAGCTTTTTAAAGAGAGAAATCATTTTTGTAATGATGTAGGAACACATTGTGATTTAATTTCATTGATGCAAGGCATTCAATTTTTTTATGTAGCTGAGCAGTGTGGGGTTTGGACCCCCCCCCCCTCTGGATCCGCCCCTGCTTATATAACCAGAACGCTCTTGTCGTTTTACAGTCAAAATTGAAACATTTTGGTGACAGATGTTTCAGTGTAGTTAATTGCTCCTAAATGAGTTACCTCTAAGATCCGAAACCTTGACTACTCTCAAATCACAGCTAAAAACTTACTTTATTCAGGAATGCTATGAGAATAAGACTTTCGGTTCACGGTGTAAAGTATATAACTTACTATTTTCTCATTGCGGTTTGGACATGCTTTTGGGTGGACTTGGCGCTCTACAAATGTATAATACACATTGTTATTTTCTTTTGGCCACAAGGGTTTGTCGGTTATGCCTTCACACGATCTCTTTTGTCCTTCTGCGTCTAGTCAATCGGAAGGGGCGTAAAACCGAGGCCCCGTCTACACGTTGCCCTTGAGAGATTGGGGGTATGCCGTAGCCCGGCTGGTACCGAAAAATCGAACGTTAATCCTCCATTTCATTTTCCTTTGTGTCTGGAAGCTGTAAATTGGTTATAATTGCGATTTCGCTCCAATGCAGGGCAATTTATTGTCAAAAAATCCTATACAGACCCATTTTAAATAAGTTGTTATATTATATATTTTACAATGATTTACAATTGAAAATCGTTTCGTATAATCGATAATTTCATCTTTATATTGCAAAGAGATGTCTCTAATCAAATTTAAATTTTAACATTTGATAAGCACCTCTATTTGATAACAATAAAACAACTATTTGCAGGTGTAATGATACAGGTGTGTGGATTTAATGAACAAAAGATTCGCCGCATTTATTAACGGACGCGAAATTTACGACCTACCTGAATGGAACATCTGGTGTGCTGTTTAATTGATCGAAAATAAATACTTTAACTTGATTTACGACATTGTAAAATTGTGTATCAAAATGGATGTGAATTTGAAAAGTAGCATCGTTATTCTCTCTTTTTTTAAAACATTTAATAACGTATAATGTCCGTTGACCCGTTGTGTCAAATTCTATGCAGAGTATTCATTCCACATTAGGATGCATGTGTGTGATAAGCGTTAATTAAACAGTAATCCATACCAAAGTTATTTCATATATTTCAAGAACTTAGAAAATGTTTTAACCACCGTCTTATAGATTTTTATGCAATACGTACATGTATTCGTATTTATTTTCAGACAGTGATTTTTTGTGTGTACCTAATAATCTAGTCACTATTTATTCACGAGGGGATCACGTGGCTAAGTGGGAAAGACGCTGGCTCGCTAACCTGGAGGTCGGGTGTTCGATCCCTGCATTGGCCGAGAAAGTTCATCCAGATTTTCCGGCGTGGTTTCCCCTTGTCAGTGATGCAGGACGGAAGGCCTGACAAGGACAGCTGTCTACTTGTTCGGATGGGACGAAAAACCGAGGTCCCGTGTAGGCTACATATTGGCGTGCACGTAAAAGATCCCTTGGCAGTTGGAATTCGCGATATAAGAGTAGGCCGTAGCGCCGCTGCCCAGGCAAAATTTCCCTCATAGCACACTTGTATGGCGTATGCCCGTCTTCATTAGCCCAGTTTAGGTGCAGTGAAGGACGTTAACCCCTATTTCATTTCATTTATTCACGATTACGTCAGAATGTGCCATATGGTCGTGCATTTTGAATTATTATATTATTTGTAAATAAATGCCAAACGGTGGCAGATCATGCGTAATATTATTTTTCATCTTGTGATAAGCAGTCATTAATGAACTGGTCTATTTTTTTTCTTAAAATATTATATTAAATTTTGACCGAGTTTTCCCAACTCTTTGTTCGTGAATGTCATGCTGATCCGTCTGGTCAATATCCAGTCTATTTTTAGACTTCCACAGCTGATGGCATAAACAAATTCACGTGGATCCGAATGGATATTTATAGACTGACATCTCGACCAATGGGCTCGCTCATGATGTACCACGTGACAATGGGAGCCTCCAAAGCAAAACATTATCTGAGGAGCAACATTATAATACGAGAGATGAAGGCTGTGAGATCTAAATGTCTTGAAATCATTCTAAAAACATGTGTTAAAACAAATCTTATTCTATGGTAACAAATTTAGACTCCAACGAGTCTTTGGTAGAGAGAATTAAAAGCTTATATACACATGTATCGCGTGAAATAAATATGTTAAAGAACAATGACATTTGTTTTCGTACAGTAGTAGAAGAGAAGAGCGTAGGACCAGCTGATATTATTGAATTGGAAAAGTGAGACGGCTTGAGGTGTCAGTTTTCATAGCAGATTAACTTCCAGTTAGATTGGATTATTTCACTTTCTGAACCATGGCGTTCTTTTACCAATTAAGATTGCTGTTATGGAAGAATTTTACTTTAAAAAGAAGAAGCCCCGTAAGTAATATTTGTTATTTCACATTAGGCTGTTAGTGCCATACACTGATTTATATCTTTTTCTTGAAATTTACTTCATATGAAAAATCGAATTGAAAACTGTGATAAATAAAAACCCCATGAAAAACCTTTACACCGCGGTGTAAATATTTTCTCCGCGGTGTAAACATTTTCTACGCGATGTAAATATTTTCTCCGCGGTGTATATATATTTTCTCCGCGGTGTAAATATTTTCTCTGCGGTTTAAATATTTTCTCCGCGGTGTAAATAATTTCTCCGCGGTGGAAACATTTTCACCGCGGTGTAAAACTTTTCTCCGCGGTGTAAATATTTTCTCCGCAGTGTATCCGCCGTGGAAATGTTTTTCAGGTTTTTTTTATCAAAAGTGTCTGTTGTTCAATGTTAATTGATGACCTCGGAAACGCACAGAAAGTAACACCGATCATATTATCTATCCGTTGTCCGTCCACAATATGTCATTGACATACATGTATGTTGTTATCATTAGTGAGATGAAGAAGTCTATTTAATTGCAATAATTTCCGTTAATTTCCTTTGAAGTTATGGTCCTTTTTTTCACTATATTGAACTTTGTGAACGCTCTTACGCCAAAAATGTTTGGGAGAAATGTTTACGGAGAAAATGTTTCCACCGCGGAGAAAATATTTACACCGTGGAGAAAATGTTTACACCGCGGAGGAAATATTTCCACAGCAGAGAAAATATTTACACCGTGGAGTAAATGTTTCCACCGCAGAGAAAATATTTACCCCGCGGAGAAAATGTTTCCACCACTGAGAAAATATTTACACCGCAGAGAAAATAATTACACCGCAGAGAAAATGTTTCCACCGCGGAGAAAATATTTACACCGCGGTGGAAAGAATTTTCATGTTTTTTTTTATTTATCACAGTTTTCACTGCGATATCTCATATGAAGTAAATTTCAAGAAAAAGGTATAAATAAATGTATGGTACCAACAGGCTACCGTAGTAATTTACTTAATTATATACGTCTAAAAAAATGTTACCTTTTCACTGCATCATGATACTCATGTATTATAAACTTGGTATTGTTTAAGCCATAGAATACTTCAAATTTATTATTCAAGACTAGCCAGAATTTGTGAAAGTGGGATGGACAATTAGGGAAAGATCTTTTTACACTCATTAAATGTTCACCTAACTCAATATACTAGAAGAATGCAAATAGTTATATGTCACACGATTTAAACAATAAACCTGTTGTTCTAGGATATTCATTAGGATATGTTTCACGGACATCCGTTTCACCCAGTTAATAGGGCGGGCCTAAATTTTTTGAAGCCTGAACCGTCATATGGTGCCCCATCACAACAACCATCACTGTTGAGTTTAGCTTTTGGCTTTGAGATTGAGTCAGCAGATGTCAAACACAGGTGGCGAATAACCTGTGCTGAATAATAGGGTCTAATTTGGATCTTTAGACAATAAATAAAATACTGGTAACATTACAGTATTGTAAGCTTATTGGAATAACATTGTCATTACATAATTTACTTTTTGACCTTTTAAATTATCTTTTTACACTGTGTGTATTAGTGCTCCTACGACTAGTCGGATAGCCGTAAACGGTTAGAACTGGACGGTTAAACGGTTCGAATTCAACGGTACGGTTATTCGGAGATGTCCCCCATTACATAGAGTTGTGTCTGATTATATTCCTCTTTATAACAAAACTTGCCCGTTGTCATTTTGTATTTGATGTTTGAAAATCTTGGAATGTAACAGTCGTCCTACGATGTCGACTGCTAAACAATGATACTATTAATAGCACTCGTCGTAGTCATACGGCAAAGTCAACGGACCTTGTTCTGACTTTAGCTAATGTTAATCCAATCTAAATACTTCTCGGCATTTCTAACTATATTCTACCTTGTTTATTATTTACTTAAAAACGTAACCACCATTCAAAATATAATCTTAAAGGATAGAAAATAACATTATACTAGATTCGTTACATTCAACATGTTTCATATCTGGTAATTTCTCGCAAGAATTCTACTTTGGTTTTTAGTTAAATTAACCAATCATAAAAATTCTACTTGCAATTTACTTTATTCTATTCTTAGTAACATTATGTAATCGTAATATTATCGCCATCTGTCACGTACGAAGGGAAACAAAGTATTGTTTTGTATATTATCGTAGGTATATATTGAATTAAAAAATGTTTCAAATGAACCAAGTTAACCAGGTAAATAAATAACTACGGCCTTTGATAGTTTAAATTTTCATTAAAGAATTCCTGAAATTTTTGCGCATGTAATGCCTTTTAGGCGAGTATAGCGTGTGCACAAGTAATGACTCGCACCTCCTGACAAGCTCTGTTTTATGTTTAAAATTGGTACCATACGGTTAACGGTTACTAACCGGTTAATAGCTACGGCTATTTGAATAACAAAAAGTCCTAACCGTAGGAGCACTAGTGTGTATGCATGTAGACATTCATAGAGAAATACTACTAATAATAATCGTCTTATATACTCTTCAAAAAAAGTAGGGGATATTCAGAAACAATAATGTATGCTAATAACAGGCAAATTGACTACACATGAAGATAAACAGTTCATATATGGGCGGCTTATCTGACGGCCCTATTTCACTCGCAAAGAGATACCCTGTCAAAAGTGAAAATGGACGTTTTTGATTTTTGTCTTAATGATGAGTAATTGCTCCACCAATCCTCCGACATTCAGCAATTCGTCATGGCATGCTCCTAATCAACCGTCCAATCCTGATTTGAGGCAATGTGACCCACTCCTCTTGCAGTGCCACGGCCAATTCTTGCTGTGTTCTGATTCAGTTTTATTTGTACCGCTGGAGAAGAAACCGTCGAGTCGAAGCGTTCGGAAATAGCCGACGGTTACCGATTGGGGTCAAGGACGTTGAACGATAGCGATAGACCGACCAAATATTTTTATTTTACTTTTGCGTGAAAAAAGTTGAATGATAGCGATAGGCCGACAAATATTTTTATTTTGCCTTTTACTTTTACTTTTGTTTTACATTTCAAATTACTTTTAAGATTTTAGTTTTCATTTGTGTTTTCATTTTAATTTACATTTTGGTTTTACTTTTACTTTTATTTTTGCTTTTGATTTAATTTTTAGTTTTGATTTAACTTTTGCTTTTAATTTACTTTTGACTTTGCTTTTCATTTTCATTTCATTTTATTTAGGTTTTTAAAGAAATTTTGTTAAATCCTGAATGATAACGATAGGCCACCATACAGGTGTATGTTAAAACAGATATTTTAAAAACAATTCTTTGTTTAACTGGTAGCCAGTGTAAATTCTGGAGGACCAGGGTTATGTGTTGACTTAGTTTCATTATGGTTATGATTCTCGCTGGTTTATTTTGGATAAGTTGGAGTGGATTTAGCAACGAGACAGAAATCTGATAATTTATGCAGTCTGACAGACTACCATATACTTGTACATGTACATGTATGCATGTAGTGTATAGATTTCATGCATGACTGGATACATTATGTATGCAGTTTATATTTACATGTAGTTCATATTTCATTTGTCAATAACTGATGGACCCATCCAGAATAGTTATATTGAATTAGACATAATTAATACACATGTTACATAGATCATAGATCTGTAGGATGCAACATTGTACACAACTGTAGACATAGGTGAATACAGGCTGAAGTTCTTTTTTTTTATTGACAACAGGCTATGGTAATGTTTCTATCTTATTAACACTTCTGATGCTCCTTTCTTATTGAATCCTGTGACTGAGGTGGTTCTCCTTTCTTATTGACACCCGTGACTATCGAGGTGCTCCATCCTTATTGACGCTACTGGTGCTCCATCCTTATTGACACCAAGCATATACATTGTAGTAGTGCTCCTTTCAAGTTGACACCATGAGTGACTATCGAGGTGCTCCTTTCCAGTTGACACCAGTTATTATCGTGGTGCTCCTTTCTTACTGACACCAGTTAATATCGTGGTGCTCCTTTCTATGTGACACCAGTTATTATCGTGGTGCTCCTTTCCAGTTGACACCAGTTACAAGTATTATCATGGTGTTCCTTTCTAGTTGGCACCAGTTATTATCATGGTGCTCCTTTTTAGTTGACACCAGTTATTATCATGGTGCTCCTTTCTTACTGACACCAGTTATTATCGTGGTGCTCCTTTCCAGTTGACACCAGTTATTTTCGTGGTGCTCCTTTCTAGTTGACACCAGTTATTATCATGGTGCTCCTTTCTAGTTGACACGAGTTATTATCATGGTGCTCCTTTCTTACTGACACCATTTATTATTGTGGTGCTCCTTTCTTACTGATAAAAGGGCCTGACAAGGACAGCTGTCTAATTGTTTGGATGGGACGAAAAACTGAGGTCCTGTGTACACATTGGCGTGCACGTAAAAGATCCCTTGGTTCAATTCCAATGGTTATTAAATTTTTGTGTTACTTATGGCCCTTGTAATGACTAAACTGTTTATGGCCCGTTATAGCATACATGTACTTCCGTATATGAATATGAAAAAATAGCATTTGTTTGTAACTTTTAACATTTGTTTCTTGTTTTTTATTAAATGCTTGAAAATATTTTATTTTATTAATGTCAATAATCTGTCAAATTAGGTTTGGTTGACATTCTTTTGTCGTCTGTAGAGAGAGTGAGTCATAGTAGAGACATTGTGTGTTGCAAATCATTCCATTGTTTCTCCAGAATCATTTCCTGCAGACGATTTTTGATAACATTAACTGTCGATATTAATAATGGAGATTTTTTTTTCTGAAAGTTGAGAGTGAATATATTCTGTGCAAGTCTAGAAATAGAACTTGCAGAATAGTTTTAATTACCCAACGCAACATGTATCCAATACCTTGATTTCGTTTTGCTGTATGAAGTTGTCTAAATGTAGCATGTTAAAGGCCCTAACATTCTAGACAAAATACATGTATATGTAGAGTATATAATTTAAAGAT